GAGAAAGGCGATCTTGCTGTTGTTCTTGATCTCCATGGTGAAACGGATTGATGGTTGTTGACTGTAGAAGTCATTTTGTTGGTCAAAAATGAAAATGAGATTCAAACTGGATATTTTATAAATTAAAGCTTTCCTAGACTAACATTAACTAAGGTGCACTGCACCATCTAGGAAGACATTTATAGAATTATTAGGACACTTCTTTGAACAAGACTATCTTATTTTGTAGGTGGCAAAACTACTCACCTAGCATCACTCATGGGGGACAAGGTGAGCTGAAGAAGAGGATGTCCTCCTGGTTGAAATATATCTTAGTTTATGTTACTTTAATCAATCAAAACCTTAAATAATTATCTTGCCACTAATTAGTTATCTATCCAATTATCCATACCTTCTTGAATTGATGCTAAAGGAAGCTCTGTAATTGAAGGGAGACAACTTTCTAAGGTGGACACTAAAGGTGAACACTTGTCTAAGGGAGAAGCTTTACACTTAAGACCACATGCTACCCTTCTTTAAGGAAGAAACCCTTCACTCTACTAAAGTGGACACCTGTATAAATTATTCAGACTACACTGAAAGGTGAACACTTCAAAGGCAGATGAATGGCTGAGATTGTCACCTTTGTCACCAATTAAGGAGGTTGTGAGACAGAGCAGGCCACAGTCTGTTTGCAGGAAGGGTATTGACTTTTCAGAGTCTAGCAGGTTTAGCAATACCCTTTATTGTTATTTTCGTAGGGCGCAGTAGTGGCTTTTGACAAGAGTGAGCCCAAAGTGGCAAAGCTGAAGGCAAACTGTGAGAAACTTGGCATTCAGTGTGTAAAGAGCTTCATGTATGATGGAATCAAAGCCCTGGATGCTGAAAAACATTATAACAGAGGAAATAGTGAGTACATGTTACGTGTACACCAAGAACTGATTTTTTTTTTAACTGCTGCTTAACTTCTGTGTAATCTCTGTAAATTTTGTTATTTCTTTCTCCAGTCTTTAAACCTCTACACTCGGTCTGGTTTTCTTTTTATCTTATTGTTTCTTGGGAATCAAGAAACAAAGAAAAAATTGCAAAAACGTTGCAAATTTGCAATTAACATGTTCATTGACTTTTTGTGTGGGCAGAAAGAATGTCTGTTTGCTCCCTAATTTTTTCTTGCTGTGTTTCCGTTATAAGAAATAAATATGATTGGCTAGTAATATTCATCATGGATATTGCAAAAAAAAAAAACCATTCTTAAAATTCGGCCTGTTGCCTTTTTTTTTTTTTCAGTTTCCCTTCCTCCTTCTCCACCCTACCCCTGTGGAACATTTGATCGCATCCTCCTTGATGCTCCCTGCAGTGCTTTGGGTCAGCGGCCTCAGTTTGTTGTCAGAATGAATTTGAAAGAGTTACAGTCTTACCCGAGGCTTCAAAAGAAACTCTTCACTACTGTAAGTGACAAAAACTGTAGTTGTGATCTATCATAATGCAGCATAGCCTTCATTAGGTACTGTGTGATCAGCTAAAATAGTCAGTTATGTTCCCACTGCAGTGTACTTGAGGAAAAAGAGGTCTTAGCCCAGTTTTTGGGGGGATATTGCCTTTTATTAAGTCTATAGAAATGTGCAGTGACACAGGGGTGCAGCCAGGATTTTTCAAAGGGGGGTCACACTGTGTCACATTGAGGGTACTCGTCAGATTGTCATGTCGTTTTCACCACCTGTTGTAGGTTGTTTCCTTAAAAAAGGCTTACAAAGGGGGGTTCATGGGCACCCCAATACCCCCCTCGTTACACCCCTGTGACAAAGGGTAAGGAGTTTGAGTTGTTTTGGTCTTAAACAGGGTTACTGTTTGTTTTGTGCTTTGGCTCAGAACTGCATTTGTTCTTTAGAAGAGCTTTATTTACTCTTCGTAAAATGGTGGGAATTTGAAACACTTCTCAAATGTTTGCACAAGCACTAATGTTTGAGGTGTAAAATAGGATGTTGATTTTTGGGTCAGGTCTCAGATCTGATATAGTTTGGTCTGAGATAGGGCAAGGGTTTTCAAGAAAAGCACCACACACCCCTGGCATAAGCGTTTGGGTGTAACCCCCCTCCAAGATCTTGGCAGCTTTACAGCAACCAGTCACAAAGAAATTCTAAAAAAAGTCAGATTTTTCAAGTCTATATCTTTCCCCCATAGTTCTCATATTAAGTGATTTCCATGGTCCATGATAACAATTTCTTTCTGTTGCAGGCTGTAGGCTTATTGAAGGATGGAGGTGTGCTTGTCTACTCTACCTGTACAATACCTCCACAGGAAAATGAGGAACAAGTGGCCTGGGCTCTGAAGTCGTTTCCTTGTTTAAAGCTAGCTAGACAGGTGAGTGAAAATTTGATAGAATTATTTGCCCTTTTGTAAACGACAACAAAGTCTGATTAGGAACGGACCATTATTTTTTTATATAGGGTGGGGGATGGGGGGTTGGGCAATTTCAAAGAAAAAATTCCTGCACAGCAAAATCTGCTGAAAGAAAAAAATTGTGCAAAGTGAAAAAAAAAAAAGCAAGTACTTTCTACTAACTAGGTCCAACAACAACAACATCCTTAATTTAACCTTCTTCTTACAAAATTGATTAAATCTAATTAAAAGTTATAATTAATAACAAGGGTACTGGCAACCTGAAATAACCATGGGGTTAAAAATGCCAGATTGCCAGTTTACAAGCTGAGTACGCATAATATGATTGGACACACGCCACACAACACATAGACACACACACTCACACCTTTATATATGGTATGATATGCAACAGAAAAAGACACTAAAAGAGAAGCTGAGATCACACCTATCCTGTGTTTGACTTTAAAAACAATATTGCGCAAGCTATTGCCCAGCTGACCAAAACAATCACACACAACTTAAAGGTGGGGAAAAAATTTCATACCCCAGAAAATTGCCCAACCCCACTCTCAATAAAATAATGGTTAGTTCCGCGCTCGAAAGATTCGTTCTACGATTCAATTAAAAAAATTCCACAGTGATAAGGTAAATAGTGTGACTCACGTGACAGCGACAACCAGTCAGAAACGCTACATGTCGGCCCTGTGCATAGCGGTGCTATCAGTGTAGAATTTTTCTGTTAATAACAATTGAGTGCGTGAAGGAAGACTTATTGTCGCTAAAGCAAACAGTCGTGTGTTTCACCTTGGAATTCCTGAAAGCGGACGCTCTTGGGATAAGGAAATTGAAAGGTGTCCAGTTATATTACTTGCGAAAATTTTCGGACGATTTTAATTTCGGAGGAAAAAAAGTGTCTGAAAATGAAACCGTCCGAAAGTTTTTTTAATACTTAAAAGTATCCGAAATTGTAAGCGTACGAAATATTTACAGTACATATAAAACTTTGAAGTAGCTCCAAAGCTCGAGTGACTTCTAGTTGAGACACTGCTTGACATACGTAACGCCTTGATAGAATTTGTGTTATTTTTTCGTCGATGTATTCGTAAAACCTCGAGGCTGTAGTAAAACTATCATTTTCACAGATGTTGTTTCAGTCGGTAATTCGTGTTTTGGAGGCGTAAATTTACTTGAGCTATGTTTCAGAAAAGTGTCCAAAATTGTTGTCCGGAATTTTCCGAAATGAGATAAAACGTGTCCCAAAATAAAACGTCCGAAATTTTTTGCAAGTGATATAGGAGAGGCTTCTGCTTATAGGAGACCTCACTCGGAGGTCTTGTGTTTTTCCTTGTGGTAGAAAACAACGTGCAGGACGCATGAGTTCTAGCATTGTTACACTGACTCTGATTTTAGTCCAAGAGGGCGGAGAGAAAATACAGACTTGGGCGTATGCACAATGCTAAGATTGAGACTGAATCAAGTTACGGTCCGCTCAAATTAGGCAGAATATCAGTGTCAGAAAAAGCTTAGAGTAAGAAGGGGTGAAGGCCTTAACGGCTACTACACTGTTGAGATTTTTAGTTAATCAAGTCTTCCGTCCTTCCATTCAAATTTGGCAAGGCGAAGAGCCTAAGCTGACTGCCAATGTCAATTCAAGCTAGGAGTGAGCAGGGATCGTGGGAACCTATATTACTACGTATCAGTGCTACACTGTCTGAAATTTTCTCACCAGTTTAGTCTCCGTCCACTCTACGCCGAAGGAATTTGAAAACGCAACAATCACCGGACATTTTGGATTTGTGTTTGAGGAAAACTCGGGTAGGAAAATCATATGATTATCTTATCGTCATCGTTTTCGAAAAGTTCCGTTTGCAAAATGTTTTGCGTCCACACCAAAACGCAAAGCCGGCGTTTTTAAATTCCTCCGGTTTGAAGAGCGTTTTCGAAAAGTTCCGTTTTCGTGACGGATTAATGTGGACGGTAGGCCTCACCGTACAAATAAAGCTGCGTTTTCAAATTTCTCCGGCGTAGTGTGCTTGGACTGATTTTAACGCGTTTGTCTTTTTTTTCTCCACAGACTCCCCATTTAGGAGGACCCGGGCTTCCTAACTGTGGTTTGTCAGAAGATGAATGTCAGTTGGTGCAGCGATTTGATCCAACCAGTCTTTATAATGCTCAGACAGATCAAACCGACACATACAATTTAGACACTATCGGTTTCTTTATTGCCAAGTTTGTTAAAAAGTGCCTTTAAAAGAGCAAATAGAAAACATTTCAAAATTACGTACACATTTTGTCTGGAAAGACAAAAGCTACCCGTTTCGTGTACCTTTTATTGAAAAAAGTACTCCTCTCGCATATCTATTTAAGACCAATGCATCGTTCTTCTAAAACTTTGGAATGTTGATGAACACTACAACGAGAGAACATCAAGCATTACCAGAAGAGATGTTAACCAAACAACGAGTGTTGTTTGTTCGGTTCATGTTGTGGAGGGAGTCAAGATACTCCGATTTTCTTACCCTTTCATATACCTCAATTTGTGAACTCCTTGCCTTTCCATAAACCTGAAGCCTAAAAAAGGTCCGCTTTTCGGGCGGAGACTCTCCATAGAGGTCTTCATAGGAAGTACTCTCCACCCCCTGAGGGGCTTAAGTTCGGGAATTTCGTCAACTAGAAAAGCAAACTTAGGGTTTCTGGGTGTGTACAGGTGAACTAATTCTATGAAACAACTTACACTGGGTCATGATATGAACAAGCACAAAGAGTGGAGAATGAAGATGAAACTGCAAACATGCTTGAAATGGAAGGCGTTTTATGTTTGTACATAAATGACTTGTCATTTTGATTACCGCACGTGTTAAGATCACGTGATCAATCCGTTTAGAATGGGACCTTCACAGTGTTGTACAGATCTGTGACTGACTTTGCTCCCCAATCCGCATGCGGAGAGCCTGTTAGCAGTCTCCTGAAATGTCGTTCCATTTTATCACATACTATATATGGGAGGTGATTTTGATTTTGTTTAATAATTCAGGTGCGGCCAAAATAATCGTAATCATCCTATTTTAAAAAACTGACGGATAACATTGTCTGGTAATACCCCACCCTGGGGCAGGAATGTTGCTGGGGGATGAAGGGCCTCGACATTTGTACGAAAAACCAGAAAAAATCGTGTTATTTTCGCTTGGAAAACCCAATACGCCATTTTCGGTTTACCTTAAGACTCTTTCTGAAAGCGAGTCTTGGTGCCCATCCTTTCATATGGAAATGAGATTTCACTCACATGCAACTTAAACTCATTTTCATATGAATGGTTGAGCACCTGGCCTCGCTTTGATAGAGAGGCTTAGGTCAACTCGGAAATGGGCTATTGCTCCCGTTAAAGGTAACTGATGGAATAACAACTGAGTTTAAATGAACGAACAGAGAAACCAACGAAATAAAACTTTAAAAGAGGAAATTTATTTAGTCTAGTTATCACAGCAAATTTCATTCTCGTCCCCAACGGCCGCGCTTGGGCGGGTCTAACACCGGAAGTGCGCGATTCACGGGCCTCCCGTCAAATCTGATTGGATGGGAATACGAAACGAATACTCCGCGCATGCTCAGAAAATCGGGTTCGGCCAGAGGTCGCGTGCTGACCAAACGGAACGCGGCCTCTGGGGACGAGAATGAGCAAACGTCTACTGTAATAGAGCGCCTAACAAAGACGGTGATAGGTTCGATTCCTGTTGGGAGAACTCGGAATTTATTTTTCCATGTCGCATTTATTATATTGACTGGTCGTTTGGCAGATCGGTTTAACATTCGCCTTAATTTTTCAGAGCTCATTTTGATCCCAGCTTGGGAGGAAATTATATTTGAAAAATGACAAATTCTGAGGGTTGTATCACTGAATGATCTCATACCGAGCAGAATATAAGAAAAGAAATCTTCTAAGGATAATTTAATTTATCAGTAACTGCATTGTATGCAAAAGGAAGATGGAATGCTCATAAACACAAATTCTCATAGAGTGCAGGACTTCTTTTTTTTCGCAGTTTATGATTCGCTGGCAGAAAAAGCGTGCAAACAAAGAGCGCTTTTCCATTCGACCAAAACTGCCGGTTTTAATTTCTAGAAATTTCCTGGGGCGAATGGAACAGGATTTTCCAATAAGCTTCGCTTTTGTGATGTATATATGAAATAATTCATATTTGAACTGCGGTCATAGATGAAAGTGAAGAATGATCATCGCAGTAAATTTTCCAATTTAAGCAATTGGAAAGA